TCATGTTAAAGCCATGGTGAATCTAGTAATCCCCCCGCCCTAATGATTTAGCCCCCGAACCCCCCCTTCAACACTAAGCTTTCCCAGTGTGTTCTGATATACCACAATATAGGAAACTGTAGTATTGAGGGACTGGGGGATTTTAATGTTCAGGGGATTCCACCTTCAACACATGAGACTCCAATCGCCCTCTTGCTTAACTACTCCACACTAGGGTCTTAGGGTTATAGTCCCCCTTAGGTAGATAGAATATGGGGTATATGGGGATATTATTACAATATACCCATAGCCTTACCTAAGGGGGACTATAGGGTATTAATGTATGCGGAGCATTTAGCGAGAGGAGGCTGGGGCGTCTGAATACCAGATGGAAAACACTTTGTGGTTCCGTGTTAGGAAGACAATGTAAATGACGATAGGCTGCTCATGAACTCGTAACCAATAGGGGAACCTCATGTTTCGACTATAATCCTGGGACTACACAACTTAGCAAGATCCCATACTTTTGAACGACATGTCCTACTTCAAAACCTAAACCCTAAGCCCTACAACAACCCGGCCAAGCACATTCCTCTCACTGCTGTCCACCGGTGCTGGATCGAGCAACTTTGGAGTTTCCAGACGTGAGGGATTTAGCGTTTAGGGTTGAATTTAGGGTTTAGGCCTTGGTTGGCAGTTCAGGGTTTAGGTTTTAGGGTTAACTCTGTCCATTGTGGATGGAGGAAATCTGGCACCACTTTGGTCCTTCATATGATAGTTTCCGAAAATCGGGGGACCCCAATATAGACCCCAATATACTAGAATCCATATTATTGGGACCCCCCCAAAAGGTACCCATAATTATAGGAAACCCCCATATACTGCTGCTCCTAGGGTATGGGATCATGGAAAGATGGGGTTTTGCAAGATTTCCTCTTTGCACAATACTTCAACGGAAGGAATTACTGCAGCACCTCTTTTCTGCGTAGTACAGCCCACATATTTACCAACGACACCTGAGAGACCCTCCACCATAATCATGAAAGGAATCTGGGACCATATTGGTGCATATTCAGGCTTCTACGAAATTACCTTGGGCCCGCCCATGTTTGGAAACACCACATGTAGCCAGCAGTTTCTGCTAGCTTCTTTGAACGCGCTAACCCTTAACGAAGCACACAATAACCAATGGCTCAAAACCTATCTGCCCGGGTGTTACAACCTGTTCTTAATGTATATAACGCATATCATCATACAGCTACGTCTTCCATTACGTTTTGGATGAATATCATCCACCCTAAACCCCGTGCCCCAAACCCTGAACCCTAAAGCCTTATCTAGCTGGAGCCATCGGACGGAAAGCAGTCCCACGCCCATCATGGTTTACGTGGACGGCACGCAGCAGTGCGTCGCATTGCGATGCCCTGTGACTTACTGGTGCTGAAGGGGCCAGGGGCATAGAGGGACCCTGAACACTAAACCCTCCCTACATAATGCCCTGTAGTGGTGCCCATAATCTATAACAATCAGTTTATGCTTTAGAAATCCCAAAGCCTGACTGAACCAAGGCCAGTCTTGGACCAGCTTCTGCAGAAATCACCTCTTTGAGGCGACGTCGCTATGATTTGCCTAGTATATGAGCTATAGTCTAAACTCCTTAAAGGGGGGTATATAGGGTATTGTATAGGGGAGTATTATAGTGGAGTATCATAGGGGATACTAGGAATCTATACTATAGCTCATATGGTCTTCTATACGGTTGGGGCCTGCATAACTGGAATAGAGTAATGGGGGTATAGTACGCAAGCTTCTGTAAACATTCTAAACATTCTATAAGCCACAGGAATTAATTCTCGGGTTTTTCCATTTGACTGTCTAGGGGTCAAGGTTTGAGGGTTTGACTCTCCACTCTTGGTAACTTTTGAGGCCTCTACACCCTAAACCTTTAATCCGACACATCCGGATCTCTCAAGCCCGGAATAGAACATGTACAGGTTCCAACGTGCAAAATGCAAAGCCCGCCAAAACACCCGCCGAAAACATTGTTCAAAAGCCTCGCGCAAAACCGCGCCCAAAACTCTGCCAAAAACTCGCACAAAACTCGGCACATGAACTGCTAAACTGGTACCTAGAATCACTCTCCCACGCCCCTTCAGCATCGGGTAAGTTGAGCCTCCCACGAGTTTGGAAGATCCATGCCAAGCTTTCCGCCATCTGACATCTAAAATCGAATTACTGGGTTGCTGTTAAGGAACTTAAAGTAAGTTACCATCGTGGGTATACATAGCAACTAATAGGGTTTCCCCAATATAGTAACGTGAATTAAGTTCCTTAACAGCAACCCAGATTACTCAAGCCGATCGCTGCTGAAGCCAGCTGTTACAAAAATCCTGCGCAACCCCTCGGAGGATTTCCAAGGTCTGGAACCCTAGGGTTTAGGGTTTAGGGTAGCTCTAAACCTTATGCACAGGGCCCTTGGGGTCACCCAAGGATTTTTGGTATCAACAGCTGCTCCCTGGTGGCCAGCAGGGAATACAGGAATGGATCAATCCCACCACGACTACCTCATGCTGAGTAGTCCCTGTTATTCTATCATTATTCCTAATAGTTAACATGCAATGATGGAGGTTGGGGTGTTTTGTGACAGGGGGATGAGCTCACAGGACAACGTATGACGCGATGACTCCGCAAATCTTGGCTGGAGCCGGGCTACGTGGATGCAAGTTCAGTGTCGTAATCTCCTCCACCCTCATCATGAACACACCCGACCGTGAATAGATATTCTCAATCTACTACCAAAAAGATTAGAGAGATCTATGCACCAAACGGGCTTCAGAAGTTAGGCAACGCTGACATTTTTCCGCCCAAATGAGGACCTTCAAGATCGATTTAGGATTTTCTTGTAGAACGTTGTTGTCCGAAGGGTCCAGGGGGGTCCCCCATCTCAAAAGACCCGCAAGGTGTAGTGCCTAGGACTTCTCAGAAAAGAGGGCCCTTCGAAGAATCCTGAGGAAGGGTGATAAGGGGCCCCACTTGGAGGTTCAGGGTAATTCTCAGTTACTGCCAGATTCGGTGACTTAGCAGATTAATTGGGTTATAAGTACACGTGTAACTGGATTGTAAATACTCTGAACCTCCAATCACTGAGGGATTTATAAGGATCAGGTTAGGGATCCCCATATAAGTTTGCAATCATGAGAGGCCATAGGATAGTGGCTGGTTACAACTTTTGTGTTTCTCTACCTAGCCTACTAAACCCTGGAAACCACAAAATGATTCAAGTTTCTACGCCATTTCCCATTTGATTCTCCATTGCTGCTTATAAACTTGGGTTTTTCCGTACCTGTAGAAGCCCACCAAAGGTGGGTCGTCTACAGATAGGTAATCTCCAATAGGCCTTCTACACCACCCCTATATGCACCAGGCTTTAGAAGAGTATTTTGGAGACGGTAGAACCAACCCTCAGCCCTAAACCTCGGGTACTGCCCTCACCCTGCAACCGTCTATATCAGGGGTCATATTCAGGGCTATATATAATTATGTTATACATATTATCCAAGGGGCACTACCCAACCTAAACCAGAAACCCTGGCTTCAAGCCTAGAAATTGGAAGGATGGCATCCTTCGTTCCCTACTGGCTTGCAGGGAGATTGCTGACCTCATCCGAGTCAAGTCTCGCCCAGAAACTCCTTCCAACTTTCGGGCAAGATGTGCTGGCAGTTTCCAAAAAAAGGGTAAGACGCCTCACCTTACTCTCTTCAAGCTTCCTGGCGCCAATGGGGGTGAATAAAGCTGCTACTTTCAAAACGGTCTAGAATTGCATGGGGATGAGCACCCGCATCCACTGTCTCACTTTCGCCTTAGCCACGGTAAGTAAATCCCAAGTTACTTTTTTGGAAGCTCCTGCTAGCCCAGCACCCTCTGCAGCGACTGGTAGGCTGCAGTCAAGCCTAATCCTGAGCCGATCGTGAGGCTCAGCCTTAGCTGTGGGTAGGAACCCTCATAAAAGTTGAGCTTTTACCCTCAGGCAATAGGCCCTATAACCCCTATATACTATATAGTAGTTTCCATTTTCTTGTCCATTTTCCCCATATAAACCCTATATACTAGACAGTAGTACAAAACAGTCAAAGTCCCAAATAAAGCCAGGCTAGAGCCCGCCAAGCAGCACTCCAAGTATGAAATGGAAGGACCACGGATAATGCTCGTATCGGTCGTTGGCATCTTGCTTGTCCTTGCTGGCTTGAAGATCGTGCAGCTGAAGCTTCACGCAACAATTTCAAAATCTAGTCTGCCACGTGTTCGCCACGGGATGCACCGCTTAGCAAAACACCAGACACCACACTTGAGGCAAAACAAGGAGAAAAAGGTACCCGTGGACCATGAATGGGTCGTGGTCTCAAGCCCTTAACGTAGCCAGAGTAAGAAGATCCCTTCCCTCTATATCATATGCCCCCCCCCTCCCATTGGATATTCTCAATACTTTAAAATATATCACAGTGGGAACTTTTCATATAGGGGAGGGGGAAGGTTTTCATATAAGGAGGGAGGTGATTAGTACCTTACGCATTTGGCAAACATTCTTTTTGAACAGGTGCATTGGTTCCTCGGGCAGTGCAGCCAACGTCGCATACCAAAGCTCTAAGACCAAAGCCAGGAGCCTAAACCCTACACCCTAAGCCATCCCTATCTGAGTCTCTTGGAACACTTCCAGACATGAACCGTAGCTGTTGAACCCTAAACCTTAACCCTTAAACACCCTAAACCCCAAGTCCCAAACCCAGAGCCCGAAATCCCCAAGCCCTGAGCCCACAACCCTAAACCAAAAGTCACTAGCCGCAAACCCCAAACCCTCAGCCATACTCCCCTTGTAACCCCCTTATACTTCCCCGGGATCCCTAGCCGCACAGCTCCCCTAAACCCTGAACCTCAAACCCGAAAGCCTAAGCCCTGAACCCCAAGACCTGATCCTTAAACCCTAGAGCCCTAAACCCTAAAACCCAGCGTCCAAAGGCGGGGCCTGCAACTCTATCACCCGCTTCTCGGGACTTCGGTCTGCAAGGACCACAGTACTTCTCTTCCCACCTGGGTTTAGGGTTTAGGGTCTAAACTCCTGAAAGCGGGGTAGATCGGGGATTATATGGAGATGTAGGGGTTATCAAGGGGGATACTAGCAGGTCAGACTATAGCTCATAGATGGGCCTAAAAGACGACCTTTCAGAGGCTTAGGGTCTAGTTTTTTTTTTGACTCGGGGTTTGGGGTTTCCCTAAGCCCTGAACCCCTGAACCGTTTAGGGCGTAAGTGACCACCCCTTATGGGGGTTGTGGGGGACAGAGGGGTGACTTCCTGGGCAAGGCTGGGATAGGGTTTAAGGTTTACTCCCTGGTGTTGAGGGTCTAGGGTTTAGGGGCTAAGGAGGGAATGGGGGAACGGATTTCAGGGATTATTATTCATGGTTATATAGCAACTACTATGAGGATCCATTCCCCCATTCCCTCCTAAGCACCAGGGAGTTTAGGGTGTAAGGTTTCAGCTTGAAACATCATATTGGTAATTACTTTCCTCCCACCTGTGTAATGTAAGGGTCTAGATAGAATAACTTCTCGGTGTGTATCAGACTCCAGCTAACTGAGGGTTGAAAAGTGATGCTATTTTCAATCTCGGGTGCCTACATTTTCTTTTGGGATGGGGCAGTGGCCCTAAACCCTAAACCAAGTTTAGGATTTGAAGCTTAGCTTGTAGGGTTTGGGCTGTGCCATGGAAGGTTATATCCTTCTTGTAAAAATTCAGTACCCGAAAGGAGGATGTACTCTTACTCTATGTAGTATCCCTATTTCAGTTTCACTCACCCGGGGCTTTCTCAAAATGAAGGGGTCCCACGTGGTTCATGGATACTTATACGTGTACTTACCACACAATAAGAACCTCACGACTGACTTACAAAAACATTTCAGCAGATTGCAAATATCCATGGACGTCCAAGTAAGGATGCTAGGGCTTGATAAGCATTTTGAGTGGAGTTTGGGGAGTCCTTGTTAGGGACTACATATGGTTGGTTTGACAGATTCCCACCTCAGAATGGAAAGAAAACCCTCAGGCTTTAGGGTCTAAGGATTTTCAAGCATCCTTGGTCTTTTGGCACTTTTTCGGGACGATCTCGACACTGAATCTCACCCAGTGTGAGGGGTCAGCACGTGGATCTGAGACGGAAGACTTCCTATCCAATGCCAAGCCCTGACCCCAGGAAACTCAACACCAAAAACCTCCGAATGCGAAACCGCAAATACCCAAAAACTCCCAGGGAGACCCCAACTGAAGGGACCGTACCTGGCCCTGATAGGTCCCTTTTTGGGTTCCCATGGTGGAAAGCCGGGAATTGGAGCAAGCCACTATCAGGCTCATCAATGTGCATGCAAATCTCAGAATCCTCCTCGCCATTCAGCGACATCCTTTTTGGATTAGGGTTTAGGGTTCCGGGTTTAGGGTTCAGGGTTAGGGTAGACTCCTTGTTGCAAGCAACCTTGCCTTGTAGCAGGCATGAAAGGAATTCCATATTTGATAGTTCCCCTACATACGGGGACCGCATAAGGGGACCGCACTATAAACCCCAGTATACTATCATCCCTACTATGGGGACCACCAAAATTTGCATCCCAAATTTTGGGGAAGCCCTAAACCCTACATATCCCCATATAACCCCTATGTACCCCAATCTTTGGGGAATCCCAATAGAATCCGTACAATTCTCTGGCCATGGAAACCCCCTTTTGGCGTCGGTATCCATGAATCATGGGACGACCTCCCAGCCGACCCAAGCGAGGAAATCCCTCATTTGGGCCCCACAAAAAGGAGTTTAGCAGTTTGTCCTACTATACTTACATTCACCACTACCATTGCAACCACTCCTACGTCTCCCCTGTGGCCTGACGAGTACCCACGACTTAAACCCTAAATGCGCACTGGCAGGTGATGTGGGACCAAGTGCATCCGTTTCCGGCAACCTTACAGCACATGATACGCTGTGGAAGATCAATCCTAAACCTAAGCCGTGAAACGCCGTAAGTTATTATCCCCAAAGCCGATAATTACCAATGTCGTTTTGAGGTCTCTTTGAGGATTTTGGGGTTCCTTTGAGGTAGTCCATACTATACTTATACATGGAATCTAGCACCAACAACTTGGCAACTGTTGAGGTCCCTATAGTAACAATGGCCCAGCATCGGCGGTATCTCTGCTATGGATGGGCTTGGCGAGAAGCGCGGAGACTGCCGTGGGGACATCGGTGGTGAACCTGGGTCTTACTGCACGCCAAGGTGAGTGGATTTCAAACATAGGGGTCTCTCTTTTACCAGCCAAAACACTATGATTCTTGGTATGGGGTTCCCAAAAAAGAGGGTATTAGGGTTTAGGGGATTTAGGGTTTCAGTGGCTTGGGGGCTTCCCTAAACAAAGATGGAACCCGCAAAGACACTTTTGCAATGTCATTGATATCCCCTTTGGGATTCCGCGTACGGTCCAGGGGAGCGATCGTTGCACAAAGATTCTAAGTTAGTTTAGGCTTTAGGGTTTAGGGTTTAGAGTTTAGGGTCCTGCGTCACGAACATGTGGGACTTGGCCTCAACTCTTCTTACACAAATGGATTCTTTAAGTACAGGGACCTGTATCATAATACGAACCCAAATATAGGGACCCGTATGATAATGACTTTGCACAAAAAATAATGTGCAACCCTTGGCCCCCTGAACTGCAACTCTTGGCCCTGAACTGCCCAGGGCTAAGCAGAGAATGAGGAGATCGATCCCTAATTTTGAGTTGAAGGTTTAGGGCCTAGTCTGAGGAATCTTCACGTGGGCAGAGTGCTCCACACATCTTGTTCAACCTTCCCAAAAATCAATGTTTTGGGTGTAGGGAACTGGTTACTTGAAGGTTCTCATAAGCAAGGTCTAAATGACTGTGTGCCGGACACCTCAGGATTGGGCAACAACCTGCACCAACAAATTCGGCGATGTGCACACCCCAATGGCAAGCTGTTTCTTGGCAATACATTGTCTGGAACAGGGAGTTTGCCTCCGCACCCTTACAATAAATCTGGAACCATAATGCTGGCAATTCTTATCTAGGCGTGGTCAGTACTCACGCTTTCAGTGGGTCTTTCTAGGGCTCTAGGTTGTCTGGGGGCTAAATCCTGAACAAACCCTGCCTGAAGCCTTTACCCTGAATCCTTTGCCCCAGAAACCTGATCCTAAAATCACCGCTAGTTAGCAAGGAAAGAAAGGACTGGACGCTTATAGAAGGTCGTAGAAATTTGCGAAGAATAGAGTCGTTTCCACGGTCTCTTACATTCCTACATTCTAGCCAGGGGAGAATAGAATCGCAAGCCCCCAACCCTAAACCGTAAACCCTAAACCCTAAACCCGAAACCCTAAACCCAAAACCCAAAACCCAAGAAAAAGGAGCTCAAGGGCGAAGATAGGAGCCGCTCGCCTGAGTTTGCCCCGAAACCCTAAGCGACCCAAGCAGTTTAGGTTGAATACTGCCCCCACCCAGTAACAGTCTATATTAGGGGTCCTATTAAGGGCTATATATAACTACATTATAACCATTATCCAACTGTTACTGAGGGGGGCAGTATCCAAAGTTTAGGGTTTGGGGCTGATGGTTTAGGGTTGAGGGTTTGGGGTTTTTCGGCTTATGGTTGAGGGTTTAGGGTTTTGGGGCTTCTGGTTTAGGGTTTAGGGTGTTGGGGCTTCTGGTTTAGGGTTTAGGGTTTGGGGCCACGAATCATTGCCAATACTGGAGAATCAAATGGAAAATCACATCGACAAATGAAATTGAAACTGGGTTTATTTCGGAATCTGCGGAATGTCGGTGCCAAAATCACTGCCAACATCCTTCTGAGGTCGATAGGAGGTAACCTAAACTAGAATTACATACTGGAATTGGTAGTTCCTTAAACCCAAAACCCTGAAGCACTTGGAGGTTCAAGGTTCTAGGCTTTCCTAGACACAAAACTCATAATTCCCAGTTGGCAATCTAGCCTTGAAGTGCTCTGGGACTTCGAAAAGTGATAATCGGCGCTTTAGGGTTCATGGCTTAGGGTTTAGGGTTCGGGGTTCGGATATTCAGTTTGGCGAAGCAAGTTGTGGGTTTGGGGTAAGTCCAACCAGCCCGAAAGCCCTAAATCCTAACCCCTAACCAAGCAATCCTGTAGTTTTAACTGAGGTATGGCCATACTTCGCAGACTTCGGGGCTTACAATGGTCTTGTAACAGCAAATGTGGTTGGATCGAATTTACCCTGGGGATATACATGGATTCTTAGGGGTTGTGCGGGTCCCTACTAAGAAGATTAGCTGACTGCTTTCCATTTTCACACTAGGATCAGGTTCGGTTGGGCTTAGGGTTTGGGCTAAACTCTAAACCCAAAGCGTTTAAGGATTAGGGTTTAGGGATCATTTAAGCAATAGGGTGAAGGGCTTAGCGATATAGGGTTTAGGGTTCCAAGGGTTGGGATTTTGAGGTCAGGCAGCGTTATGCCTATGCTGCGTGTTAGATATCGTTGACTTCCTATGTCATGCCGTTAAAACTATATTCTTCTTCATTCTCATATGGCAGCTTGTCAACACTATTAGAGACCCAAGGGTGTAGGGGGATTATGACGAGATCTTATGAGGACTCCGTACTCTAAGGGGTTTCTCGAGAAGCCAAAACACTGAGCACAAACGACTATTGACATATGTCTTTTTCTATACTGGGATTGAATACTTGTTCTCACACGTCTTTTTTTAATGTTGGGTTCAGGTGATCACGCATACAGCTTGCGTTCCATACCGAGTATCTTACTATGAAAGGTTCATGCAAAGTGTTACCCAAACATTTTGCAAGCATGGATTCCCCGATAATGCAGGTATTCAAGGGTCATAAGGGCTAAACAAGTTGATAAGGAGGTAGTATAGCGGGCGTGGTTAGGAGAGCCCAGTTCAACCCTATAGATTACCATAATCCCCAATCCCATTCTGTCTCTGTATATGTAACCCCTATAATCAGTTCTAAGTTGCGGATTCCCGAAGTTTGGCAGTCCTTGTGCAGAGACCGCTCCTTCTCAGCACGATGTCTCAGAATGAGAATCATGATCACCTCAGTAGTTTATCCCCCTTAAGTAGGGTCTAGGGTTTAGGGTTTTGGAATTTAGGGTTTAGGGATAGAATAAAGGGTTTAGGGATAGAATATGGCTTTGGGTATATTAAAATAAGATCCCCACCTACCCCATATTCGATCTACTTAAGGTGGACTATATTCTATATTGACGCGTAGTATAGGGTAAAAGGTTTTTGTTGTGCAGCCTATTAACATTGAAGGGTCCCTATTAAAGCAACCAGGCGTATTTTTTTGGTGGAGATAAAAGGAGAGCTTCATTTTGAAACACCCATTCGTGGAATGCTTCCTTTTGGTTCATAACCTTACTTTCTGCTTGTCAAGTACAAAGCCAACAAGAAGGATATAATCTTCCTCGACATTGGCGGCTTCATGGCCACCTTGAAAGATACAACTGACCTGGGCCAAAATTTGCCAAATCCATCGTGGGCTGGGCGGGTTGGGGGACGGCGCAGCATGACCTTGCGTACCTTGGAAGCTATGATGTTCAAGTTGAATGTCATGCGCCTGGCCGCCCCTGCACCTCAAATACTCACAGACTATGTTTATGAGCCCTGGACTAAAGTCCTAGCATATCCCTCAATAGGTCCCTATAGGTCTCCCCCAACCTAACTTTAGTCCGATGCTTGTATGGGTGCACATACGCCTGTTTAATACTAGCGGCCAGGAATGAGGGCCAATACTCTCTACTCCTCCCTACCCCTGCCTGGCACTCCAAAGTAACATGGATTTACAGTGATGATAGAAGCACCGAAAAGACCAAACTGGCTCCAAATGCCAACTATAACCACAACCTGCAAGAATTTGCTATAATCCTTATGATACGGACTCCCGAAAAGAGCTTGGAATTTTGGGCAAACCCTTGCAGGAGGTTATTCTGAAACATACCCGTACCAGCCAAGGTGACCGGCATGATAAAGGTCCATAGAACTGACCCAAAGCCTGTGGCAATTCCCACCTGGGTAGCGATTTATGTTTGGGGTTTGGGATTTAGGGTATTCATGGCCAGTTTATCCGATTGAAATAAACCCCAATTTGGGAATGTTTTCCACAGAAATACACACAAGCCATCATTGGGAGTGAGGTCGGATGAGGTGGCCATATTTGTCCAGTTTCTGGGAAGGCGGCAAGCATCACGGTTTGCTTTACATGTATGGTGCGACAACCCGAAAGGAGTCAATTATCTTTACCTTATAGTTGGGTTATAAGTACAGTTAGCGTTTGAGTAGGGTAGAGATACAGATGGGCCTCGAAGCGAGTGTAGAGATTGATTGGGGGAACTCTCAGGCGGGGAGTTGCCAGGTGGGCCCCTTACATAAGGCTTACATAAGGTTGTGCAAGGCACGCATGGGAGAACTACCCACCTGTAGTGTCCTTAGACCCACCTTTAAACCCTAACGCTAAGCCCTCAACCCTAAACCTTAAGCTTATGCCAGATTTGCGGCTGAACGTTTGGGCTTTCGGGTTTAGCGCTGCGAACTTGAGGCAGCAACTTGGGTAGTTTCCCAACATAGGGAGACGCCAACATCGACCCTATAATATACCAAAATCCTGATGATAAAGACTCCGGTTCGGCCAGTAATGAAAAGACTCCGGTTCGTCCAGTAATGACAAGTAACTCTTATGCCGAAGGCTTATGCTTTGCGTACTGCCTCCACCCAACAACCGTCTATTATAGAGGAAATAATTAGAGCTATATACCTATATCTTTATTCATTTCCAACTATTACTGAGTGAGGGCAGTACCTGACCTATGATTTGCAAGCCCAAGTAAAATAAAACCCCTTCAATCAATAGGGCTTCCAGTTTAGGGTTTAGCCCCCTCGAGCACGAGCAAGTCATGAAGCCTGCGAAGTACACTTTGCAGCTGAAGGTTCATATTGGATCATATTGGATAGTTGCTGGTACGTCTTACCAGATTTGGGAATATGGAGCTGTGCTTTGAAATATCTTTGAGCCTCCAAAGTTTCTGGCCCTGCTACACAGACTCTGAGGACGTCTTAGTCATATCATGGCTTAAGCAAGGGCAAAAGTATCCAATAAGCGCAAAGGTCTGAACCCCACAGGCCCGGCAACAATGGCAGTGACAGAGGGGAACACCACGGCCAAGCTAGCAGCTGCGCACATGATGCAAGCCTTGGCGTGGATTTAAGGTTTAGGGGCTTGACCGTGTGTAAAGTCGGGGGCATAAGCGGCTTAAATGTGTAGGGGTTTCGGGTTTAAGGGTCTGAAGGCTTCACTGCCTTGTGGTCGGTTTCGTGGATTCGGGGTTGTTGAAGGTTTACTCGGAACTACTTCTACCGCACAGAAACTGTTCAGGCTGTTCAGATTACCGCCACCTTGTCCCTGAACCCTACCCCTTTTCATGACTCCGTCACCGTCTACAACAACTGCTCATGGCTGTAGGCCCCTGTGGGTTTTGCTCTGAGCTTAAGGCTTGTGCTTTGCAATCTAAGCCGGTCTTTGAAGGAAAACCCTTAGGGCAATTTGCAGGAAGCACTGAGCCTGAACCCCCTTGCCACTGCGACGTTGCCGTCCGACTTTCAAGCTGTCACTCTTATGATTATTATGGTATATTATAAGAAGTTTTAGCAAATTATAGTTATGGTATTATAATATATTATGGTATATTAATAGGTTGCCGAACTGATGGTCCCTGTTTGGATCCCAAGTACCAGAATGCAGCCTCTAATATGTAGGGTTGCCAAATCGGGATCACGATTGTAACAACCTACCGCCATTACTGGTACTCGTCTCTGATTCTCAAGCAACCAACCTGACGGCTGCAACGACGTTTTGCGTCTCAGGTCGGAGTGGAGTAGCAGCAGCAGCAGCAGCAGCAGCAGCAGCAGCAGCAGTGCGAATAGCAGTCGCAATAACAGTAGTAGTAAGCCAATCGTAACTGAGTGATAACTTTCCAAATGTTGCACTTCTCGTTAGTTGTCGTTGGTAGTTTGCAGTGGGCGGTTCTTCGTTCATATAAGTAGTGAGTCAGCCCGAACCAACGTGCATTTTGCAGCAGCGCATTTACCTGTGCTAGAAGGACTGTCAAGGGTAGCAGGATTGAACCGCATGATAAGGTCTGGGGTCTGCGTAAACAGGGGGCCCCAACATTGACCCCAATATGCTACGATCGCCAGTTTAAGGACTCCCAGAAGGGGGCCCTTCATTTTGGGAACTTACAATCATGCTTCTTCTTCACCGCCTCTAGCGTTGCTAGAAGGCAAAGGTTGCACTTGCTGGCTGGTGAGAAGGAGCATAATGTAGCGGTCATTAGTAGGTAGCAATGTTTTGTGAGGTTCACGTGAGGTACCCTGCACAATAACCATACCAGGAATCTATGACCATTATATCGGTAGTTTGGGATTCTACATAGGGCCACCCAACAAGCTCAAGCTCAAAGATGGCCGAAAAAAGATAGCTGCGCAAGTGCTCGTTGATGAAACGCAACAGGGCTAAGAACTGTGGCAACCTAAGCTCCCTGGATCGGTGGTCACAATAGCAACAATGGAAAAAACAAACTTGTATTTCCTAAGCTAGAAGGTGGCCTCAGAAAAGTGCCATGAATTGCAGTACGGCCCTCCTGACCCCCAAACCTTGAACCCTAAACAGCTTGAAAGTGCAGAACTAGCGGCTGTGTGGAACACGCGCATGGGTGGGCTGACAGTCCCAGTGTTCCCAAGCGGGCGGCGGACTGGAATTGACCTCATTGGTGCGCTTGAGGGTGCTTTCAAACGAAAATGTAAGCCACCAGGTTTTACCAGGTTGGGGTTTGGGCCAACGAGTGAGGAACCACAAATTGTAGAAACGATTCTGTGAGGCTGTTGACAGTTTAGGAACTGTAGAAAAAGTGGATCATCCCACTATCTCTATGTAGTCCCCATATAGACCTCCCCACTAGACGCCCATTGCAGGTAGGTAGTTCACAGGTGAGTAGTCTCCCGTAGGCCTCCCATACTGGCCTCATCAAGTACAACAGGCTCTTTTGGCAGGAAACTACCCACCTTCTAATCAGCCCTAGGCCCTGAACCTGACCATCCCAAAGCCCACAACCCTCTACCCTAAACCCCAAAACCTTAAATCTTAAGCATCAGTAAGTGACTGCAGCGGCAGAGGCCGGCCCAGAAGCCGCAAGATGCTATTCCTGGAAGGATTGGGAGGGGTTCTCAAAATAGGTAGTTTTGTGTTTAAGGTTTGGGGTCCAAAGTGTGTAACTGTGTGCGCACAGTGTGTACGCTTTTTTTTCTAGTGGTAGGAGGCACACACACAATGAGCACACTAGCGTAGCTCTCTCAATTAGGGTTTCGAAGTCCCACCCCACAAACCACCTTAGCAAGGAGGTCCCTTGTGCATCTACAAGTACATGTACAGGTTCCTGGACACCAATCGATCAAACATCCTGAAAGAGAGAGCCGAAACCACGAGTCTTGTGAAGGCGTGGATCGCTCGCGGCCTAGTGCTGCACGCTCTGTACATGCGGTGCCAGCTCTCAATCAGCCATGCATCGAGGCTGCACAAATATATGCAGATACGTAAAACTGAGAGCTCCGTGCAGGCTGCAGGGCAGCCCTGGAGGGTTGCCCAGCTGTAAAGCCGAACGTGGCATGGCCCCAGGGCCACAGGGCCCGAAGACGTTGAAAAAACACAGCGCGCCTTAAAGGGTTTGGGTCTTTTACTTTCAGGAGCTACGTTTTTTGGTCGTCCAAGCGTAGCCAACGGGGCCTGCAGTGTCTACCTGGAGGTTTTACGCGCCCTCAGTATGTCTGTCCAGATGCTCGGACGGAGACCCTCGGTGTGTGCGCCCAAGCGTACATGTACATGGTCAGCTGCGCTCTTGCCAGTCTTCGCGTTGAGGATTTGGGCTCTAGGATTCTACAGGAAATGCCGGCAGGGTTTAGAGACCTCAAGAAGGATTTTTGGGGTTCGCAAAATATGGTTGAAACTAAAAATCCTGCAGGGCCTAGGTATACTATGGCATCCCCTTTCCCGAGATTTAGTTTACTTAGGGCAGGACGTTTAGCATCAACTGTACGCATAGCTTGGGAACCCCCGGGATTTATACTGCGGTTCCAACAATTGAGATCATTTCTGGGGAGTCGCAAGAATAGGGACTTCCATGTCTTAGGTTCCGAATTTGGTGACCTATTCATGGAACGCCAGTAGAAAAGAAGGAGTACATAGACATCTTCTCATGGAGAATGCAAAACCTCAAGCCTTGAACTCGAAATCCCCATGTGAACTCCCTAAACTTTGAGCCTAGCCCCAAGTCTTGAATCAAAAGCCTCAACCCTCCAACCCAAAATTCTTCCCCTAAACCCTAAATCCCTAAACCCTCCACACTTTTTAATGACCCTGGGTTTGGTGCTGAAGGCTCCTGCTAAAGGAACCGACTGACACAAACAGGGCCCGCCATGCCTCAGTATGAAAGGAAAAGTTTAGGGTTTAAGGTTTAGGGGTTTAGGGCTTAGTCCGAAGTTAGGGTTATGGTTAGGGTTTAGGGCTTAGGAGTTAAGGTTTACCTGGTAGTGAATAGTCCTTCCATACAATATCATAGAAATCCTCCATGAGGTTATCAAATATTCACCATAAGAGATCACATAAACTGTTGGAGACAGGTAGCATTAGGGGTGGGGTGCAAGTGCTTAATCTTTGTACGAACAACAGTTTTGTTGTGGTTGAAGTTTGGACTCTACAGGGATATACGGGCTCGGGACGGGGAGTTTAGAGATTACGGGCTTCGTTTTTTTTGTGGTTGAACTATGTAAGGCCATAGTCCCCCTTAAGTAGATAGAACTATGGCTTTGGGAGTATAATAATAAGATCCACATAGACCCCATATTCCATCTACTCAAGGGGGACTATACATCCTTTTGCTATACCCAAAGGAGGATTTGATCTGACTTTTTGGCACTATAGCCTCCATACATTTGAAATATGACTCAGGTCTCCGTGGAGTCCAGGACAGTTGCAGGAGGTGGAGTACCTTATGTGAGCGTTGCGTATACACTGAACAAATTGAGGATTTGGAGTTTATCCCCTATACATCAGGTCGATCATGGAAACTATCTCGTTTTATGCACGTACTTCGATTTAGCAAATGTCTTCGGGAGCCCTTCCAACATTCCTACCAGTACGTCTAAGGATTTCAAAGTTCACGAGATTTGCCGCTAAACTGTTGGCAGCGCTTAGGAGGTTTGGGCCTAAGGATGCCGGGATTTGAGAGGTTTGAGGGCTTGGGGCGTTTGGGGTAGCGCCCACGCAAGAAGACACACCAGCATTTCTGGAGCCTTTGTGTCCCTTTATCCCGCATCGCGCACGTCCACCCTTCGCCCTAAGTCCTAGCCTTAGCTAACACTACCCTAGGAAGAAAAGCATCCTTTTTACACCAATATGAGCATTCCCATTCCCCAAAAGTATAAGGAATCCCTAACACAAATCCAGAAGCACTATGGTGGGAATAGAGCAGGGCAGTATCATGCAAGTTCTACAACCGCGCGCTAAGGTTCTTCTCACGAAGTACTACAAGCACGAGAAGAATATACTCGTGGATGGAAATATCCACCTAGACTACTATTCGCTCCTCCGAACATAAAACCCGAAAGATTGATATTTTGCTTGGTATATACTGGAACTATATTGGGAATATTCATTACCATGGGGGTGGAAGGCTCATGATTACGTGACGGGGAGTAGTACTCTCGCGAGAAATCCCCGCGTCCACCGGAAGAGCCTGTTGACTCGTTCTCAGGAGAATGAGGATGTTGTCAGGTGGGGAATTGCTAGGGTTCTTGGTTGGAGACCTGGAGACCATGTGTAATGTAATCCGTAAGCTGTGACAGAACTAGTAGACCGTGAAGCGGGGTTCCAGCAGAACCCTGAACGTCAAGTGAAATGTACGTAGTTCCTGCGGGTTTGGGGCCGTTGTCTTGGATTTTGGTCTGGCCGGGCTCAATTTTTACCAGCTCCTTTCACAAGACACATGAACCAGTTCTGTTGCAGTTGATCACAAGTAAATTGGTACATACTCATTAAGCCAACCTCTTTTTCAACGAGGCAAAAGTGGGGAAATACTGAGGTCCCAGCGTGGGCCCTTGAAGAATAACACTTTCTTTTCAGGGGTGTGCATGGGGGTTTATCAAGCTTACGGAGCCCCCCTCGTTGTTCTTCAGGTATATCCAGGATCTCAGCAAGAAACTGCCACATTCATCAAAACACCCCCAATAGTCAATGGACAAAGGGGTCGCCAAAATGGGAATTTCTGGAGTCCACCTTGTAGGGTCCCGATGTCCTTTCCAAGGCCCAGAACCCGAAATCTAATCCCCTCCTGTAACGGAAAGCTCTCGCCCCCAAACAGCAAACAGCCCATCCCTGAAACCATGGCACTGTGCTATGAATATCTTGTATTGGGGTGATGGGCGGTTGTTCCTTTGAGTTGTGTGGTTTCCTAAGCCGTAAATCCCAAACCACTAGCCCTTATATCCGAACCACGAAATCCCAAGCCCTCAACTCTTAAACCCTAAGCCCATAAATCCCAAGCCCTTAACCCCTGAACCCCAAATCCCTACATCAGACGTGAAGCCGTAGGCCCTGAAATCACTTAAATCTCAAACCCCCATGCTAAAGCCTAAGCCCTTAACCCTTGAATCCCAATCCCCGAGCCCGTAAACTTAAAGCTCTTAAATCCCGAAACCCTCAGCCCTTAAACCTCATCTCTGAAATCCGAAGCTCTCAACCCTTAAGCCTTAGACCTTGGACCCTTAAGCCCTAAGCTCTTGAATCTGGGCCTCCATGGATGCTCACTCTGCGTGAGACTTTGCAGCTGCAACCCCATGGGAGCTACAGTCTAAACTCCTTAAAGGGGGGTTTTCTTGGGGATTATATAGGGAACTACTA